TCGCTGTGCTGCTGACCACGGCAGCTGAGGACCTCCGAGGCCATGCCTCTGAGCACCAGCTCCGACAGCCTCTGCCTGTAGCCCTCCGCATTCCGAAATGCACAGCCTGTGGAGGGGAGCACAGGCCACCGGGCAGGGAGGGCATCTCAGCTCCCCCCCGTGCAGAGCAGCTCTCGAGCTGGGCACGCATGGGCAGATCTAACACTCTGGGCCTCCCCCTCCTCTCCACTGAAGTACTTGCTTTCCATCACCTTTTTATAAAAAGGACTCAAACGAGGGCTGCTCATGAGTGATCGGGACCTGGATTCCCCCATCCTAGACCTGCTCAGAAGCCCTGTGTGGCCTTGGCCAAGCTCCACCGACCTCTGACCTCACATTTCCTGCCCTGGGGCATGAAGGTTTGGAAGGAAAGATTCCCTTTGCCCTGCATCCCAAAGTGCGGGACACAGGTCAACACAATGCAAGTCCTGCCACCTGCCACATGGGAGCCTGGGTGCCCACCTGGCCAGCAGGCCTGCTCCTTGCAGGAAAGTGGAGCCACTCTCCAGGAGGGCCCACACGCCCTGCTCTTCCAGCATGTGGACCAGCTGCTCACTGTCGAGTCTCTTGAACAAAAGCTGCATGGATTTGATTGTGATCCTGGAAGAAGGTGGGACCATGTCATGACGTGGCAGCCCTGCCAGGAATGCCCAGAGCACCTCAGCGGGGCAAGCACTGCACCCAGGTCTGTGAAGCAGGGTCCCAACCCCTGCTGGGCCCAGCTCAAGGGGCTAAGACTGGGTCTGCAGACTCTGAAAGCCACACTGTGCTGGACCCATGTGAGGGAGTGTTGTGAGTAAGATCAGGTTCCAGAAACCTCTCCCCACAGGAGGGGATGCTGAGGGCCTCTCGGTGGAGGTGACTTCTAAGAGGCAGCCCAAGGTCACGTGTAACCCAAGCCCACTGCCTTGCACCCCAAGCTGCCTGCCCTCGAGAGCACCTCTGCAGGTTGATCTCCTCGGGCAGGGTCCCCGTGTGGATGAGTCTCCACGTCTTCAGGGCGGGCGACACTGCCTCCGGCCCCTGGCTGCTGCCCAGCTGCATCAGGAGGGTGTAGATGAGGTCCGGGAGGAGGTCCGGGAGTTTGTCGTCCTTGTCCATCTTCTCGATGAGAAGGTGGATGGTGCAGAGGGTCTGCAGAGAGAAGGACAGGAGGCATCGGGGCTCCGACTCAGAACCCCCGAGGAGCCCCGGGGCCTGCCCCTGCGACTCACCATCAGAGGGTCTACCGCAGCCAGGCGCCAGATGTCAGCCTTGGAGGTGGCGTTGGCCCTGGGGGTGAACCGGGACTGCAGCCGGCCCATCAGCCCGTGGAGCATCAACCGGGCAAAGGGTACATTCTCCGCCACAGCCAGCCACACCTCCACCAGGTGGCTAGCCAACGACAGGGGACAAGGACTGTGGGTTACCTGCCATGTGCCCTGGCAGATAAGAACCTCTTTGGACCCCAGCAGCCCCCTGAGTAGTGGATGGACTTGAGGCTGCACCTCAGGGAGCTGGCGTGAGCCCAGGTCCCCGACTCCACGCTCAGCCACCTTTCTGTGCCCCGCTCATGGTACCCCTGAGAAGCCACGCTCCATGGCTAGGTGATCACCAGGCCTACTGTTTGCTGACCTATGGATGACATCCAGTAATAGCCTCCAAGTGACCGATTTGAGTCAGGCTGGTCCTAGGCCGCTAACCAGTGTCCTCGTCCCTACTCCTCCCAGCACATCTTTGAGGAAGAGGCTTCATCTCCATATTCCACAGGAGAGGGAGTGAGGCCAGGCTACAATGAAGCAGCTTTCCTGATCCCCAAGTCCAAGCCTGTGGCCCTGCTGAGAAGGGAAGGGACCCCTGACTTGAAGGACCTGGTTACACAGGTACAGGGAGGTAAGGTCCTAGTGGGTTCTGAAGGGCCAAAGAGACAAGTCCAACAAGATCAAATTGGACAAGGAGATGCAAAAACTGCCTGCTGGAATTCACAAAGCTGTGTCCATGGTTCCCCAAAGGCTGTACCTCCTACGGGAGATACAGGGAGAGGGTCAGACAAGGCACCACTCAAGGTCCTGGTCCTCTGGTAAGTACGGCACGGTCTGGGCTGCACAGAAGCCCCTGGCCCCCCACCCAGGGCACCCACCACCTACCTCTGCATGGGCAGGGGCTGCCTCAGGAGCGACGTGAGGACCGTCTCCTGGTGGTAGTGGGCCAACAGGAGAATGCCCTCGATGAGGTGGCGCCGCACCTCCTGGTGATCCACCACGGGCAGGTGGACCAAGATGGCACCCAGGATCTCAGCCACCTGGGGAGGGGCCGGGCATCACCAAGGCAGCCTGGCCCTCAGGGGTCTCTCGCCCTCGCACCCCTCCTCGTAAGACTCTCACCCAACTGGACGGGTGGGTAAGTTAAACC